TAGATGTAATTCCTCGAACTTTTGAGGTCGGTTTTTTAGTACTCGAATAATTCGATTATTTTTAGTAACTATTGCTCATCGCTAATTGACATTTGACGCGTTTGGATACGTTCCGATAAAAACATTATGGCACGATATTGCTAGCGGTAGCATTTTATTGTTTCAATTAATTATCAATAAATCAAAATTACTTCGAATCCTGCTGACAAGTGAGAGAAGATATTGTGGCTAAAAAAGGAATAATAATGCCATCAACTAAGTTCCAAAATCGTGGTCAACGTCACCCATATTAAAAAACGAAATTATTCGTTTGAGTGCATTCGCTTTAGACGATTCTGCTATCGCAAAAAATATACCGTTGGTCCAACCCGACGCTATAAAATGTCACCCGTAGTGCTGCCTTCTAAGATCACCGCTATTAATAGAAATTTTATTTATTTAATAATCACAACAAATTCTATAAGACAAATAGCAAGTAAAACACTGAACCCTTGAGGAGTTTATAATGTGTCCCGTCTGACAAGTGAAAATTAAGTAATTACAGTCTTCGCGAAGTACAACTTGAAAAGGTTGTAAATCCGAATGAGCCGTGACCAGGATCACGGCAATAAAATAGGATAATTCGGTCCGCAAAAATGTATTCGTAATTAAATCGAAAAGAGAAAAAGTAAGGCCGCAACAAAAAAGGTATATATAAAAAACAGGTACAATGCTACAAAACACTCCCTACTTAAATACTAAACGTGAGACAGACTTACCCCGAAAGGGGCGAGTTATACAGTATTACAGATTGGTATTAAAATTGGGACATGATTAGTAGTAGTTATCACAGTTTGGTTTTAACACTGGTAAAAAAAATTAGACGCAATTAAAAATTAGAGCAGTACTGTCCGCTGCCGCAATTGAGCAAGGAGTGGCGACGGAACGAAACAAAATCAGAATGGCGAGATAAAGGAATTAAAGAACAATACAAAATTTAAAAATAAGTGGTTAGGAACCGGCGAAAAAAAAAAAGGGCGATAAAAAGGTTGGGATAACGATGTAAGGAGGTCACATCGTCACAAACTTAAGTTAACATAGACGATCGTATATAAATAGATTTTTTTTTTGTTTATTGACCAAAGTACCGAAAATCATTCATTTACTAATTACAAGCTTCGCTCACAAAAACCCTTCCGGCTTTATCCGCGGAGTAGAAGTTCAGTCTATTTTAAGTAAAAATATTATAAAATAGAGCAAAAATGTTAAAATCTAACTTAATTACATATAGACAGGTACAAAAACATGCTCACTTGCATATAAATGGCATATAGGTAAAAACTATTAAGCATTTTACAAAATAAAGTTTATATCTTCAGTTTTCAAATAAATGTTTCTTAATGTATGTTTATGTGTTTGTTGTTTTGATAATTTGTACAAATTCCTCATTCATTTTGTACATTTTTTTTTAAATAATAACGCATACAGTCAATATAGCCCCGCACTAGGGAAACCCTATGTCACGGGTGCCATGGACACACGCATAGACAACCACAAATTACACCCAAACTCACGAGAGAAATATGTAAATGTAGGCCATAAAATATTTCTCACGGGAATCGAATCTGGGACCTCTGCGTGGCCACGAAGGTAGTTATATAGTCATTAATGCAGGTAACAAATATTTACAATTTCTTTTTCCATAATAATTATTGAATTTAGGCAGTATGAATTTCTTTTGACGAATTGTTTTTCTTAATGTAGTGTGACGAGAGTACGGGGTGATCTTTGTGAAATTATGATATTTATCTATTAGTAGGGCAGTATTTAGGTTGTTCTGTACAGTTAATATATTAATTTATTTAAATAGGTAGATGGGTAGGTTAAGCATAAAATATTTAATAATTACATTTATATTTATAAATTAAGAGTAGGTTGTAACTAGGCACGGGCGAAGGCGAGCGAGAAGGTAGTAAAAATAATAAATAATAATAAGATATTTATTCCCAAACTAAAGTATTCATAATCGCGACACAAGACCAGATAATTAACGCTAAAAATTATAGAAAATATATAATAAAAGATCCATCAGCAACAAACGACATATGTCGCAAGTGTCGGATCCAACTAGAAACGATTCAGCACATTACAGGAGCATGGACAGCGTTTGCACAAACAGTCTACACCATAGACACAACCACGTAGCAAACGTCATTCGCCAGAAACCGGCACTCAAGTATGCACTCATACAAGATACAAACACTCCTTCCTACAAATACACACCACAAACTATCCTAGAAAACACAACACACAAACTCTACTACGACCGCGCAATTCTCAAGGACAGGACAATTCATTTTAATAGACCAGATATAACTGTACAAGATAAAATAAATAAAATTACTTACCTAATAGACATTGCAGTTTCCAACATACATAACATACAGAAGACTATAAATGAAAAAATAAGTAAATACGCAGATCTAAAGGATGAAGTGTTTAGAATTCGGCGACAAGAGAAGGTATACGTTATCCTAATTGTTTTTTCCACAACAGGCATTATACCTAATCATCTTCTCCATAGCCTTAAATTATTAGGGTGTAAAGAAAGCCTCTACGTAACGCAAGATGCGGGAAGTTCTTGCAAGTGGAAGAGGACGAAGTAGGATCTTATTACGCACCCACCACGTCCTCGTAGATACACATGCATTTACTTTGACTACGGTCCGTAAATGTGATTCCAACCAGCTAACAAGCTGAGAAGAATAAAGTTAATAATGATAATTTAGCCCTAAATAATATAATCTAAAGTTACACATGTAGATAAAAAGATAAGACTCTCAGCTGGAGTTGTTTTTCAGAATTTACCTCTTTGATTATACACGCTACATTTTATATTAGTAACAGTAGGATGCGTCCCGAGTAGCTCCAACAAAATTATCTCTAAAATGTACACAACTCAAACTTATAACTATGATCATCATGATGGTGCCCGAGTCAATTATATTCTAAATACTCTTAATTTGAAGTTTAGATATGGATGAACGGCACACATAAATAAAAATAAAGAATAGTAAAATCTTATAAATAAACAAAAAAATAAACAATAAATAAAACCTTTCTTTTCTTTTTTCTTTTTTCGTTTATTTTCTTTGTAAAATTAAAAATAAGGTATTTAATTAATAACTATTGTAACTATAGTGAAAAAATAGGGTGGTTTGCATCAATATTAGACATAACTGATTGAAGACTGTACCACCTCAGTCAACCGTGACCAAGGGACTTGTAAAAAACAAATATACGCGATTTAAATCCGGAAAAATAGTTTTTTTTGCTAAATAAATAAAAATTGTCAAAATCCAATTACTTTCCGATTGTTGCTTTGAAAGTAACCAACGCTTGCATTTCTATTGGAAAGTACAAGACAACTTCAAGTTCTTTATTGGAGGAAGCAAATCGTTCCAACACTTAGATGCAGCAAATTTGAAACTGCCTCGATAAACCGTCTTGGGAGTGGTGATATCTGTAATAAGTAATAATAGTCCTGCGAGGTTGTTTGTTTTTTTAAAAATAACCGTGTATACGAAAAATATATTTAGACTAACAGGTGCCCACGACTCCGTCTGTGTAGAATGAATACTTCGAGTAGCCGACTGTAATATATTAATTTACAGTTTTGCATACAAATTTTAATCCACTATTTCACCACGTCTAAGATTGGTTCCATCTATCTCTATACCAAAATTAAACGTTTTTTATTAATTTGGATTGCTTACCAAGTAATCAGTATTATAATTATGTTTTTCGAGTTGGTAGTAAAAAAGCTTTTTAACAAGCTTGACAGACTGATTTATGCATAAAATGATGACCGCATCTAATGAAATTCTGTTTTTGCTTGTCTTCTGAATAAAACATAAGTATTTTGGTCTCATGATGATTAAACTTATTTTAAAAGCCTGATAAAAAAATATGTTAAACATGGCTTGGTTCCAATCTTAATATTTTATATAGATTTTAAGACTTTCGTGGTTATTCGCTAAACGATTATCACTAATTTCAGGTTTCTTTGATAATCAGTTAATATTTTAGTTGAATTTTCTTTTAATGATATCTGGTGATGGAACGAACAAGTCTTGTGCCTGGTTAATAACAGTTGCAGTGCCACTCGGAGCTTTAAATCGCAAATATCTGGAGGGCACTGCCACTGCGCCCGTTATCCTGAGACATACATAAGTTGAAAAGTAATATGTGCCTGTTATTTCGCTGGGACAACTGTAACGCAGTAATGCTCACGTTACTGCTTGGCGGCAGAAATAGGTAGTGGCAGTAGTTCCCTGGATGATTTTTTTACACAGTATTACTGCTAATATAAATTGTTGCACAGTTTCAGTTTATCTCCGTTGCAAAATATAACATTCATTGTTGTACTTTAACTATAAATTTCAATAACTTAAACGTGGTGTAGATAATTATAACAGTTAACGTAAATATTCCGTATCTTACTAACTATAGGTCAATAACCTGTGTTCATATGTAATATATGTATGTGTACTGGAATAAAATTCAAAAATCTGACTTTGGGGTCGAAACACAAATCTGCGATGCCATGTCGCATCGCAGAAATCTACGAGCTCGCACAACGCATCGCAAACATTTGCGCATTCCTGCGATGTTGATCTTCTTTGTGTTTTGTTTTCCTATACTTTCTTATCAATAACAGCAGTGCAACACTCTTTTTACGATCCATGTCGCTATCTAATTAAAAAAATACGTTCAGTACAGTTAACGATCGTCGAAGGAATGGTCACCCGAACCGTGGCAGTGAGCCTTGCCGCATGAAATCGCTTCGCAATAATTCGCGTCTCCATTTTCTGCGTCTCCATTTTCGCAGTTTTGTGTTTCGACCCTTAATAGGCACCTTCTCATAGATACTTAACAATATTATTTGTAATAAATACCTTTTAACTTTATGTGGCGTTTGGTTATTATTATTCTTCTAATAATTCATTTTATTTTCTCAGGTAAACCGCGCGAATCGTGGGGCTCCTCTGCGGAACCCATTGTCAGAAAAGAACCTTTCACTCATCTCTCCAAGCAAGAACTTATCGAAGAAGCAAACAAAGTTCTAGCCCAAGCTGAAAATATCACTTGCACTGCTGATCATCCACCCGAGAAGTTCTTCTCCCTTCCACACAGGCGAAAGTATAAAGAAAAAGAGGATAGAAGAAATAGCGAAGACGGCGGTACACCAGAGAAAGGCAAAACTCCACTAGGAAGGTCTACTAGCGATGTAGGCAGGAAACGAGAGAGGACTTCCTTATCTACCTTGTTTAGAAGAGCTCAGAAAGCTAAAAATCCTCCTTCTATTATAGTCACCAGCCCAACACCAAGCAAGCCTGTAATTGTGAAGAGAAGTAAAAGCGATGTATCCGACTTGAAATCTAACACAAATCTGAATCCCCTATCTAAACCTATTAGGAAGAGATCTGGAAGTGAGACTGAGGAGTTCTTAAAGTCTCTGAGAAACAAGAAGACTCAGTTATCACCTATAATAGAAAGCTCGCCTAAAGAAGATTACTTCAAGAAAACATCACCGTTAGAATTGTTACAAAAACAGAAACTAATTCAAAAAGACAGTGTCAAATCTGATGATTCGGTTCCAAATTTGAACTCTACTGATAGTAAAAAAGTTAATCCAGTAGAAAAGCCTCCTAGATACAAAACTCCAGAAAAAGTTGAGCCTAAACCACCCTTAAGAGCTAAACGAGGAAAATCTCAAGATAAAGAGAAATCACCACCCATAACAGAAACTCCTAAACGAAAAACTGACTTAAATAAGACACTATTGGTCGATGAAATAGATTCAATTAAAGGTAAGGATATAAATCCAGTAGAAGTTAAAGAGAGGATAAAGGACAGTATAAGAAAGTTGGAAGAGAACATTTATGGTGATAAAGAAATGAAACATAGTAGTCAGCAGCCTCCTGACAAACCACCTTTAACTAGAGGACATACTGTTGATCACATAGTTAGAATACTTAAAGAAGATCAGCAATCACCACCACCTAAGGTTCATTTGATTGCGCCTCCGAACGGTGCCAACACCAACGTAAATCAACCTTTTTCGTACACCAAACCAAGTGTAAGTCCAGATCCTAATCTTTTTATTAGGAATACAAGTCCAGATAGAGTACCAACACCTGTCAACAAAATGGCTGATAAGGGCGTTGTTTATGCACATGTAGTGAGAGACCATGGAGATACTGGTTCCAGTCTTGGTAAACAAACTGTACATAAAACTTATTCTCCCTCTAGAGAGAAATATAACCTTTCTGATGAAGATGAAGGCTTGGGTTATGAAGAAAGACATAAATATTCTGCAAATAAATTTGATTACAATTACAAAAATGATGAACATGATAATTTCAATAGTTTGGAAGGTCCTATAATTACAGATTCACCTATAAGGCCAAAGTTCAGAGAATATAAACTTACAAGCTTTGATGATTTTGAGCCCACATATGCTAATGAATATCCCACAGCAAAAGATAAATCCCGTGACTACATTGATAGTTTTAGAGGAAGAGCTGATGGTATGGATACAAAGAGAAAACCATTTGAAACCGAAATTAAAATGGATTTGGATTTTAACGAATTAAGTCATAGGCGTCAGTTGTTAGAATCTCGTTTAAACGCTCGAAGATTTGATGCGAGGAGGGAAATGAATCCAGGAGAACCGGTATCCAGATATCTGGCCGAGACTGATCCTATCTATGAAGCCGAAAAACGTATGAAAGCAACTGAAAAATACGTTAACGAGACTGCTAAATACATACATCACACGTTAGAAAGAGATGGGTTCACTGAAAGTAGCGCGACTGAGGAGTATAACAGATACGATTCTGATAACCACAAAGTGAAATACAATACCGAGTCAAGAACTTTCTCGAAAGTCCCTAAAGGAGAATTAGATAGAAGAGACTTTATTGATCGTCTGGAACCAAAATACAAAGATGGCAAAAAACATTTTCCTCCAGAACCTGAATACGAACCTCCTAGTCTTGAGTTCAGCGCTGGAAAGCCGGTTCTGTCTCCAGATGAGTATACGGAGAAGAAATATAAAGTCAAAAAGAACGTTACTCCTAGTCACGACGTTCTGCAAACAGGAAAGAAGTATAACGGCAACAGCAATTGGTTTGGCAAAAGGAAAGGACACTATGCATCCAATCCTGAAATTGCTCAAGAAAGGGAAGATGATTACGCCAACATCCGATATAACGCAAACAATGCTGAGGCATATCATAATTCTTTACGTAGAGTTAGGAATAAAGACAGATATAAAGAAGACTATGGTATAAGAAGACATGATTCTGGTGATAGCCGAGATTACTATCGCGATGATAAATCTCCAAGGCGTTTTGATATTGACAATCGACTTATTGACTCTGGTATTGAAAACGATTTTCGTAAAGATTCTGGTGAAATACATAGGTTTAGAAGGCATGAAAGTGATGATGATGTTAGAAACACTTCTTTGTTCTTAGCAAATGAAAGACGGCATACAGAAGACAATTATCCTAGTGAGCAAATATATGCAAATGGAGAATATGTGGCGAGGTTTAAAGACAATAGAGACAATGGTTATACGAAGGAGTATACGAGGGAGAGAAGTGCAGAGGAAAGATCACACTTGGACCCAAAACGATACGACAAAAGTCCTACGGATGACAAAATCAGTGCGAAACCTCCGAAGGCTACAAAGAAACTTTCTGGGCTTGAGAAGGTAAGATTATACTATATTACAAAGAACTTACCAGAGTTTATTTTAATTCTTTGCAATTAGATCAATATTGAAGGGAAACAGCGTAAGCGAAGATGTCAATGTACTTGTCAGAGATCTACTCGATTAAGACACGTGAAGTCCTAATACTGGTTTCTTTCCTTGAGCTCTTGGCCATTAACAGTTGTAAATTTCTTGCTGATTCCTATATCGTGTAAATTATATACTTGTAGATTTGTTGTCAAAGGCACATTTGAATGGAATCTCTTGCTAGATATTTTCACTATCGCACTACTAATTGACATCAACCTTTGTTTATATGAAAACAAAGGTTGATGTCAATTAATTTGTTTTTTGTATGAATAATTCGCAGTCGAATGAACTTGATAGTTTTCCTATTAAACGCTTATGGTACAGTAGGGTTACGTGTGTAGGAAGTAAACAATGAGAATATTATTGTCCATTGTTGCATTATAACCACATATCACTGCCAGTGCTAATCTAGCTAATAGAGCTTTGGTATAAGCTAAATAAGGAGAGGCAGTATATTAACAGGCACCTGAGCCATGGCATTACAAACGTTAATAATATAATACGTAACGGTATCCAATCACTATTAGGTGGACAACAACGTCTAATTGGTTTGTTTACTATTAAATATAAAATTGTACGTTTAGGTGAAACAGCTGTTCTCTCGCGACTCTTCTAAGAAGAGCAAGAAACGAGAGGAGAAGGAGCCCGTACCGAAGACTCGCACACGGGTGCTCAAGAGCCCTGAACATCTTGCCAACGATGACTCCGAGTACAGAAGGTAACGAAAATATAATAAAAGAAAAATACCTGTGGTTATCAGTGTGATGAATAGTTGCTTCGTCCCGAAATACGTATTTTTCGTATCTTACCATAGTTATTGTTTCCATTTGTGGAAATTATCTATGTCTTATATTTATATCTTCGAGAATTGTCGGAAACTACTATAAGCTGCGCATAGTGCAGAAAAAAACCTCATTAAAAGTAAGTAATCTCTACGAAATATTTTACCAGGTACACTGACCCCGAACCAAGTGACAACGAAATCGTAAAGAAGAAGGAATACAAACTTGGTGAAAACTGCGAAGGTCGACATTACCATACCTCTAAAGAACATCTGGAACGATACAGAAGTCCTAGAGATGACGATAGACAACGCAGTTCAGCTGAAGAATCTGATAGACAAAGGTCTAGAGAAGATCTTAGCAGAAACAGAAACGGGAATTCAAGGGATAACATAATTAGGCAGAGAAGTACAATAGAGAATCTGGATAGACAAAGGAGCAATAAGGAAGATGTCAGGTACAGAGCGTCGAAAGAAGATTTAAGATACAGGAGCCCGGATCCTAAAGATAGCGATGGTGAAAGAAAATATAGGGAGACTGATTTTGTTGGAAGGTGAGTATATTTCATCAGGTCAACCATATCTTGATTGTAATAAACAAAAAGAAGCAAACTTTATAACGACTCATAGAATTATTAGCTTTTTTAAATCAAGTAAGACACAGAGTGACAAAACACATCTATGTGCAGATTATGGCGAGTACGGGATCAAACAGTTCTTAATGCATCATTTTTGCGAATGATATAGTTACAACAGGTTTATAATGTGTAGTTTATGAAATTTAACTCCATATTTTTCGGTCTCAAACCCTAGACTAATAAAAAAAATCGCGACAGCTTAATATCTCAAGAACTTATTATCGTAATCAGATACGAACGAACAAAAGAAGATCGCTGGTACAAGGAACGCAAAGAAGATAGGAGATATAACTCATCAGATCGAGATAGCGAGCTTCGAGTATCTGATGCTGAGCCTGACAGGAAGATGACCAGGTCCAGGACTGCTGGACCTATGGACTCACCAGCTTTGGTAAGTGATGACATTGATTTGCTATATACCTAGGTCACCCCCACCTGGTCCTTACGGACGACCGTGCTACTATAGTATAATAAGACAAGTAGGGCAACTCCCGCCTATTCACCGTGTCAATGCCTACTCTTCGCACGGAGCGTAGATTTGTCACATATATTACTTTAGTTGTACCAACAGGTTATGATGAACATGATTTGAAAAAACTAAGCTATTTATCACTGTATTCTCGTGCTATATTGAAATACATTTGTTAAATACAGTAGGTATTTATTTGTTCATATTTTTATACCAACATCGCGAGTTGATGTCTTAATTATGGAGTATGATTATGAAATAGAGGCAGTCTCCGATTAGGGCGATGCTTATCTTGTCAAATTTATCACTATCAAAACGCAGGCGTGTCTATTCTCCACTAAATAGAGTTCCTTTGACCTGACTCCGACTTTTCATGATATACCATCTCTTCGAATGGATCTGTCGTCCAATTTGAACTTCGGCAAATATATAGATTCCATGGCCAAAAATGCAGCCAGGAAGCATGGCATACTTTCCAATGTCAGGTGTTACTTTACACCAGGACAGTTGCTTTAGCTGTATCTACTGTATCTACTGCCACCTATGGGATGGTTCTGCTAAGTGCCAACTGGCTACCTTGGATTCAGTTGAAGAGCATGTGAGGAGGTTTATGGATGACTCGAACGTAGTAGAGGCGAAACTGTAGAGCCCTGAACACCACTCTAAAGTTTCCTTCTTACCTATCGGTATTCTACAGGGTAGATCACCTCCTCATTATAAATCAATCAACGATGGGGTAAAGCGGCAGGAATTGCATGAAAATCCAGTGACTTGATTTTTTTGGACTGATGCACTGCAATTAGTTTTTATGGATGTCGTTACAAACCGAAATTACGTTTAAAAAACTCAAATATATAAACTATATATTATATTAAAACGATGTCGCAATAGCGCAAATTCAGGTGTTGCAACATTCCTCGCGGCATCGGTCCATATCAATCAAATTACCGGCGATGGTCCAAGTTGTATAATGACTTCTGCTACTAATAATTCTCGATTGAAAGTCGAGCTGAATAATATCGATCAGTTAAGAAACAAATAAGCGCTTTCATTGGACTATATTTTACAACATTCATGTCCTTTTTCATATTATTAAAGGGGATGGCGATAGCGTGAAGTAATATTTCACATGAGACTCTTTACTGTTACTCAGAGTGGCGGCAGGCGCGACTGCGTGTAAATAAAATATACGTAGACGCTCCTTGCGTTCCCAGTGGTCGCGCGCGCCGGCGCCTAGATAGGGCGCGGACGCGAGTAGATCTATTGGCCCGGTCCGTCTATACCTTTAACAGTGCTTGGTCTAGCGAAGACGCTAAACTCGCATTTGCGATTTCGACGCGTGGATCAACCCGCTCGTAGCCGCTTCGGCACTGTGAACGGGAAGACGCCAAGATCTGCGCACCCGCCGCCGCGCTCCGCTTGCATTCTGAATGAGCCTCACGGTGAAGCTCCTATCATGTACCCCAAATCTTAATTGCTAACCAAGCAATACACATCCTATTTTGCAGTTAGACTATAAATATAGTCTACTTATACTTCAAAATGAAAGATGAGTAACTTTTGACATACAAATTATTTATACGTTTAACACACAAAACGTTTTACAGCGAAATGGGTAGACGACATATTTAAAGGCGGTGCATAGCAGAAACTAAGGGAAGTTACCCACTGCTGCGTATACGCAGCACTGTTACCCACTGCTGCGTATACGCAGCAGTGGGTAACATCGGGCGTCACTTCCTATCATAAAACAAAATATACTTGAAACCACACGCAAAATAGGCAACTAGACTCTTTCACTCACTAAAAACTCGTCGCCAAAGTCAGACCGAGTACAACAACCTTGGTAACTCCAAATCCGACGTTTGAATAGGTCAGGCCAGAGGTGAGAGCACTGTATGGGCCAATCTTTCCGCATACTGCTTCACTTAGTATCAACCTTATGGATGGTTTTATATGTTAATGAATTATTCATTTTCAACGCAATAATATTTTATTGCAACCACATTACTTCACGTTGATTCCATTTCTGATTTTTTTTTTAAATTAAATGTAAGGCGATGATTCGAATCTTATTGCTTTAATTACCTTCTTCGACGTACAGGTTTCATTCTTTACCAAGGTACGGAAACGTTCACAAATGTACTTAACTTAGAAATTAGGGTCATTACTTGTCGTCACATGGATATTATCCATCGACCTCTTAATTGAGAACCAACTTATGCCGAACTGAACAGCTCTATATTAGCTTTCTAACATTGATTGTCAGACTTCTTAAAATCAAAAACGATCCCAGCTCTTGAACTTCCATGTTCTATTTTTTTTTACGATAGGAAGCGGGACGAACAAGTCGTGCGCTTGGTAGTAAGATCTTATGGGTACTGTCACTGCGCCCTTCACCCTGAGACATAAATTGACAAGTCCCATGTGCCTGTAATTTCACCAGCACCCTACCGTTCAAAACCGGAACGCAGTTATACTCACATTACTGCTTGGCGGAAGCAATAAATAAGGTGGCAGTACTTCCCTGGTCGGACTCTTTCACAAGGAGCTTTACTGCTACTAAATGTAAAAAAATAAAACATTTAGAAATGATGTAGTGGTTCTAATCATCACTAGGGACTTAGGATTACTAAATTTACCAAACACGTAAACCAGGAGCTGACCGTCTATGCTTTAACTTTCACTTTTATGTTAAGGCCCTTAAAGATAGCGATGGTTCAATTTATAAACGACGGTGTTAAAATCTTTTGCCGGCGAATATTCTGAAATTGAATGAACGAATGAATGATATATTAATAACAACACTCATCAGAATTGCAAATAAAATAAGCTAATCTACAACAGGCTGCCTTATTCGTACAGACATTCGTAATTCGTACAGACAACCGTGGGTTTATAGAAATTTAAGAGATGCTAAGGATATCTCTTAAATTTCTATAATTGCAAGTAAAAAAAAATAAATAAAACACTAAAGCTCTGAAAGCTGTGAGTGGCACTGCAACTGTCATGGATAGGCGTGTCGCTTACCATCAGGCGCTTGTACGTCCCGTTACTTCATTTAAAAAAGTCTAAATTGATTCTGGTCTGCGTGAATTCCGTTCCTCAAAGTCAAAGTCAAAGTCAAAGATCATTTATTCCATAGGTAAAATAAATTTACACTTGAAAACGTCACATTTAAGCTACTGCTCGTTCACTACGCTGACCTCTCTGAGAAGAACGAGCAAGAAACTCTAGGGATTGCTCTTTTCAAATAAACTTAAATGCTATAGAATACACTTTGAATCAAATTTGTGTAGATTCTGGAGCCGTGTCGTCTTCCATACATCTTTATCTAACACATAGTCTTCAATTTTGTAATATGATTTTTCGATAAAAATATTTTTAATGTAGTTTTTAAACTTAGGAAATGATAAACTTAATATATGCTCCGGAATCTTATTGTAAAAACGTATACAGTTCCCCATAAAAGAGTTGTTTACCTTGGTTAAACGAAATCGTGGTAATATCAGTTTGGACTTAGCTCTACGGTTAATATTATGGATATCTTTTTCTTATTGAAATTATGTATATCTTTACGGGCATATAAAATATTTGAGTAAATGTACCGTGATGCCAGTCTCCTTAAACTTTTCTCTGAGATAAACCCGAGAGCCTAGACGATACACAGAATGAAGCGCTCGTTTCTCCAATACAAATATGGTTTGAATATCTGCCGCTTTACCCAACATGAGAATCCTGTAGGACATTATACTATGGAAGTAACTAAAGTAAACTAGTCTAGCATTACTAACATCGGTAAGTAATGTCACGTATTCTGCGGACTGCGTATGCAGCGGAGCTTAATCTGTTGGCCAGGGAAGATATATGTGGAAACCATTGAAGTTTACTATCTAAGGTCACTCCCAAGAAGACTGCTTTATTAACAAGGTCTAACTTTTCTCCGTTTATTTCTATGCTTGGACTAGTCGATTTTACGTTAGGTAATCAGTAGTCATAATAGAAAATTTAATAGTTTAAGACCAGGCAAAGGTGTCTGGATTATTACTATTCCTCTACGTGCTAATAACTTAAAGTTTATTCCAAACGCAAGCTGCCAACCTATCGCTCTGGTTTGTGAATGCCCTTTGTGCAATACAACCATTCTAATTGTATATTTTACAGTCCTTTCTATAGTTTATCCATCAGCTAAAAGCTTCCTACATGTCAACACTGTTACGTCATTAGTTATTTCATAATAACCACTAGTATAAAATTGTTATTCACATTGATGAATGAATTTTGTTTAGGAAACATAGATGGCGGGACCTGACACATAAGCACGTTGATAACGCTTATCCCTAAATTGAAAAGCGTGCTTATGTGCTTATTTTAAAAAGGAAACGTTTTTAAGTATTTTTCATTTAAACGCCCATCTTATTTTTTTGATTAACGTGACAATACATCTCCCTTTAAGCGGGACAATCCCGCTGTTAAGCTTCTTGTCCCGCTGTCCCCAAAATACTTAACAATGTCCCGCGTTGACAAAACACAACACGTGATATTAATTTAAAATAAATAGCGCATAAGTGAAAAAATATACTAATCATTAAACATTATTACCTACTTCTTTTAATTTTTTTTACTCGTTACACATTTCGTGACTCATCATGTACGTGTTTTATCTTTAAAATATTAATAAATTTACGGGCGTCCCGCTCTGAAGGCAAAAAATGGTCGCCATAGGTATGACATACCTTTTGTACATCTTTCTGTTTGTTGAAGTTATTTTTATTGTTATTTTGATGTATACGTTACTTAGGTCAGGGCCTACTTGGAGTGGGGGCCCCAAATCTTTTTGCCAGGCTTGACACCGTTACATCAGCGACTATGATTTTTCATAACATAAGTAAAGCAACTGTTTTCCATAGGTCAAAACCACC